TGCCTCCCAATCGTAAATTCCGCCTTTAAACAAACCTCAGTCATTGTCACAAATCCCAACCAGCTCATCAATGTGGGCTGTGCGTGTACGCATATGAAGTTCGAGCTGGTGGGTTGCGAAAGTCAGGAAGGAGACAGGGCTCTAGGATGTTTAAAAATGGCATAATTAGTGAATTGGGTGCCCATGAAGTCACTTGTTTATATTGTTATCAGAGGCTTAGCCTGCTGCTTCACATCAGCTTGAACACCATTTTGTATCAAAAGTCAGTTGTTTATTTATGCCACTTATTCAATGGTGAAGAAAAATGAGTTGTGGCTGAAGCATCAAAATAACAAGGACTTGATCCGGAAAGGTGGGCGATCTGATTTGCAATCCATCGTCAAACCCTAAGCACACCTTTACCGAAGCGGCGCTTCAACGAGGAGTTTTTTTTTTCATACCGCCTCATCAGGCCACCATATGTGCTGACGTTGAAGTGCTCACCTCCATTGTGTATGTTTTTCCTGCTCGTTCATTGAGATAATGCTAATGCCTGATAAATAGAGCAGTTCAGTCCTGCCTGTGCCTTTTGGGGAAATCTAAACAACGGGTATCCTTTTGTGACGGTCATTTTTATGCTTTGATCATTCCTACAGAATATTCCACCTCATTCTGCTCACGAACAATGCATATGCACTGTAGGTCAAGCCGATTATGTGCAAGAGAAGCTAGTTAACTCCGGATTAAACGGCAAATACATATTGGATTCACTGACTGTGACGGTCTTTTTTATGGATGTTACTTATAGTAGTGTATCTCACACGCAATAATAAATAAGTGGAGGAATATGAATGCGAATGAACTTTGGCACGTAAGTGTGCGCTACAAATGAGCTTCGGTACACTTCTTTTCCTTAAACATCTATAGCTACCTCAGAAGGATCAGCCATCAGAGGAGGATCAGGATCGACTCTTTAAACTCTACCAAAAGCGTCAGGTACTGACTTGCAGATAAGGACGGAGAAGAAGGGAAAACTTACTATTATTTCGGAAACGAGAAGAGCGTCGAGTGCAGACCACACACCACAAGTGACGACGGCCTGGAAAAAGTGGTTTTTCTTTTTCTTGGCCGTCGTCACTTGTGGTGTGTGGTCTGCACTCGACGCTCTTCTCGTTTTCCAAAATAGAGGTACTTAGTGTAGATTAGTGTAGTGTGCCGCATCCCACAAAGGGATTGATCAACGTCAGATGCTTTATCCTTTATCCTTTTAACGTGCACCAAGGACCACCTCTAGCTTGGTTTCCGACAGGCTGCATTTTCATAGTAAGATAAGCCTTCAAAGGCAACTTCCGGTCCAATGGTGTGTAAAAACGTTCGATAATGAAATTGTGGGCTGGGAAGAAGTAAAAGAAAGCAAAAGGGACATTTGTTCAAACAAAGCCTCCTCTGTTTCGGCCATCTTGGTATGCGATAGGGAAGGGGCACGCTCGGACCACTTTTTACCAACGCAGCCGCTAAATCTTTCAATCTTATGTCTTACTGTGAAGTTCTATTAGCTGCTATGTCGTTCTCCACGTTGTGTGCAACCCAACTATTATCGCTCGTCCTTACAACAATCCCGATGGGCGGGGAGGAAGTCCTATCTAATAGCCCCTAACCGCGCATTTCGATTAACAAAGATGGCACGACCTCTGTTCATGCGGACCTAACAATTTCACTCGCGGCAAGCTTCTTACTGAAGAGCCTAATTCCGGGATTTGCCTTTAAGCAGTAGATATTTTTATGGATTAGGCTCTTGACTTATATGCCAGTTGAGAGAAATGATCGGGTTGAGAGTTCTGTCCTATTGGGCAAATTCGGCGCTTCATAATCAAGTCCGCAGGAATTGAAGGCTTGGATGACCACACTGGAGCTGTTCCGTGCAGACAGTGCAAAAATGATGTCATTTCTCTAGGCACTGCGCCTTCCAGCAATTAACTTTTTCTTCGTCTCCATTTCCGCTCTATTGTTTAAGATGAGGAAGGGGAGAGAGAAGAGGGATGAATAACCAAGTTCACTGTGAGTCATTGGTAAAGGAACTGTCAAATTCCTTCATGTAAGCAATGAAGAAGGCTTTGCGGTGGGGCAAAACACGCAAAAACCACGAAACTGGAAACAAAAACGTGCAACAGCAATTTTCGGCTCATCCAACCAGAACGCAAAAGTTTCACGGCCTTGGATCACAATACTTCCTACTGGATTGTTCCTATGTGAAGTAGGGAATCTGCTGATACCTTCCCACAGTGCTCATTAGTTGGCATCCAATCAAGGCTTTTTAGTTCGCAAGAGGCAAAAGCACTTGGTTTGCATCTGTTTTCGGAATCTGTCACATATTCCACCTCTATTCGATACCGTATGGCCCATTGCAAATGTTAGCTATAATTGATCTACGGATTACGGCATTGGTACACTTCACAGGGGATTACCCTGTAATCGGTCGAGGGCCTATTTGGGTTCACAACTGACTCTAGAGAGTCAAGCAATGTCCACACCAGTTTCTTCAAGGCTACCATAGTATTAAGACAGAGTGGAGCATAAATATCGTGAGAAGATTGAACTACAACACATACACTTACTAGGATGAGAACAACGTTTGAGCGGTAATTGCTAACGTCCGAGCTCCCCATAAAAGGATAAAAGGATAAAGCATTTGCCGTTGATCAATCCCTTTTTGGGATGCGGCACGCATTCTACTTCCATTTGTACATTCGTAGTGGCATTTGAATGCGATGTGGCCTATACAATGACTTGCGGGGGCCAGCCGATGTACAAGTCAGTGTTTTTATCCTCCCAGACAAGTCTGGTACCAATTAACCGACCCCGGAGGGATGGAAGGCTTGGTTGGCCCGGGCGACTCACGACCCAGGATTTGATCCCGGACCGCTCGCGTGTGAGCGCGCCACTTGTCACTGACACCACTTCCTGCCGCTATTCCGGGTGCCGTATTCGATGCGAAAAAGCAACCGCTTGCTTGAAATGATTTGGTCAAACTTCGCTATGCCTGGTATACCGTTCGACCTTTAAGGTTGAAGCTGTGCTACAGTTACTTAGCCGCTCTATTTAGGTCCCACCCTGTAGTACTAATACTACATATCTGATGTGAAAGGAAGGGAAGGCTTGGATGGGGTAGATCCAAGGATTAAATTTGGGCTTTGATCCAAAGACCACATGACAGTATTCGACTCAGCTGTTTATAGCTCGCTACTATCCCCCGCCTCTCCTTTCGTCTGTCAGTCCATTGTTGCGTGCACTGGGAGCTTTGACGTCTTTGAGGGGATTAAACCATGCAGAGAAGATTCGAATCTCTCTGAGGCCTTCTCTTAGCTACTTCTCAGTTTACTTCCTTCACTTATATATCTATTTGAACTTTTTCTTAGGCCACATGAAGCCGATCCTCGGAATTACACGCAGCGGGCGATTATGCAACTTTTCGAGGCCGCTGGCTGTGTAAATGGAGACATCGACTACCAGATCAATGTGTCAATGATAGAGATCTACAATGAGAAAATTAGGTGAATATAGATCGAATATGACTCGAATGTTATGGCACATCGCTAGCTTTCAGAGATCTCCTCTCACCATCTGTGCAGTCGAGTCCACCGTTGTCGATTCGAATGGGCGAAGATGGACGGCTCTCGATCCCGGGTCTACGGGAAGTAGTGTGATCACTCTGTGGAACATGTCTAAGTATGTCCTGAGAGGCGCTGGGCGAAAACAAGTGTGTCCTCTGATCCTGTTGCTCGTGTACCGGTTGCAACTTTCTGTTTAAGGCAGTGGCAGCGACGCCGAGCCTGATCGCTTGTTCCCGTCGATCGCATTGATCGTTCGGCGTGTGTATCGGAAAGAATCAACATCACTGCGCAGTGCACCGTTCGTACTCGTCGCGTCTTCTTTCAGACACGCGAAAATTTATGCCTTTCCTTTTAGGGCGATGACATTTAGTAGATCTTGCTGGAAGTCCGACAGGGTCTCACCACTAAACGCCACCGGCCAGCTGTTGAAGGAGGCTCAGGCAATAAACAAGTGGGTTTGGAGAAGATCGAGAACGAGGGTAATTTGTGCGGTTCAGCAGGTCATCTTTATGAATTTCAGATCCTTATCAGAGCTTGGTAATGTCGTGTTGGCACTTCGACAAAATCAGAAAGCATATTCCATTCCGAAACTGTCAACTCACCAGGATTCTCGAGGACAGCCTCAGTGAGTCGCTTTTTCCTTTTCATCCCATTTCGAGATCAACAGACTACTGAGACGTAAATGAGCCTTGGAAAACATCGTATGATTAAACTCGCTCACCAAACCACTGAAACTCCTCCCCTATCCCAGGCCAATTACGTTTCTGTCCAGCAGATAGTGATCGGGATCTATTTCAACCAAATCCCCAATAATGGCTCCCAAGCCTGTTGCTTGTAGAGAGACAGGCGTTTGGTAAGCCTCACGTCTGCTACAATACCGCTACTAATTTTTGTTCAATCGACGGTTTGCGACGGTCGGAAACCGTCGCAAACCGTCGGCTCGCCATAACTCTTTAAAAAATGGTTCGCTCGACCTGCAGTTTATACCATCTGATAGCTCTGCTCGAGATCTACAAGATGGTTAAATTCAATTTCTGAAAGAGCTCCATCTAGGATTGCGCCATGCACTCGACCTCCATCCCGAGAAGTAATGAATATACTTTGTATGTGATGCGCATATAAGTCCTCCTATGCAGCCTGATCATCCCACAGAAACACCTCAGAATACGCCACGTACCCAACCGGTCCACCATATGGTGAGATTGAATGAATGTTTTTTTTTCGAATTTCACGATCTTTAATTCGTTCTAGAGCGCTAATTGGCTAACCGTGCGCTGATCAACCCATTCTTCCACTCCAAATGAGAATCTTCGAACAGTTTCCAGCAGTAGTAGTAGACCTATTATGTACCATTTGCGGAAACCTGAGAAGATAGCCAGGAATCTCTCCACAGACGTAGACTCCAGTTACTTCTCTGTAAGATTGATGTAGAATATTTGGTCACGGGTAAGCGCTCCGTCCGTGGTGTGGCCCCAAACATCACTCTCCGTCATGCCCTAAAATGAAAATCAGAGTTTTTGCTCTTCCAGATGACTCTACAGAGCTGAGGGGTGCACCGTTCGATTTCCCATGAAAAATACTACCGAATGGTGTACAACTCAGGTTTCACACAAAACTTTGTTTTTCTC